GAGAGGGAGGGGAGAGAAGCGGAGCCCTTCGGATTTTAAAGTAAAGGTCTAATTATCCTCCCCCTGCCACAGTATCGCGGGGAGAAAAGGCAAACTGAAACCCGCAGTCACTTCAAACGGGCTGATTGTTTTGCTTCGGCATTAACTCCTCCAGATTTGTTTAAGATCCCGTTAGAAAATCTCATTTGCATGTTTTTATAACAGCTACAGGGAAACTTGTTGCAAACAAACAATAAAAAAATCCACAACTATCACAATCAACCCCCCGGCCGGCCGTTTCCTGCTGTTCTAGCGGTTCTTTGGGGGGAGCGCAGGGCCAGACCGAGAGAAGAGCAGGAGAGCAGGCAGGTCGAGGCAGCCTTTGGCTCCGCCGCCAGCCCATTAAAGGATGCCGTAAAACAACCAGCACGAAAATCGCGGGTGGCGCTCCCACGCCTCTGCTGCGGACTGAGGACTGCTGCGGGGATCCAGAAAGCACCACGTCCATCCGAAGCGCTGCTTGGCTTCCGCAGTCCCGGGGTCGGCAGCAGTAGAAACTTCACGTACGTATTAGGCAGCTGGAAAGAACGGAAGGCGTGGATCGATCATCGCCGTCCCGCACGAAGCTAGTCGTGTGACCTCTTCCGCGTGGCCAAGGTCGCTTCCCCGGGGCGCAGAGGGACCCGAGCGCCGGGGGGCGAGAGGCGGGGACCCCAGCGCGGACCAGGAGCCCCCCTCGCGGTGCCCCCAGGGCTCTGTCGCTTGCCCAGCAGCTTTTCTCATGGAATTATTAACTATTTTAATAGTCTCATTAGGAATGAGTTACTATATGAGGAATAAATAAAATAAGGGTTTGGTTCTTTAAACACGCACACACATACGCACTCCCTCGCTCCCTTGTTGGATTTTTTTTTTTTCTGATATAGCCGAGAGGCTCGATTGAAGGGAAAGAAAGGCTCCGCGCCGGAGTGGATGATTTCTGGGCTCCAAAGGGCCACAGTTAGCCCAGAACTTCCAGCCCCGATCTGGGAAAAGAACATTTGATGCCATCAAAGGGCTGCAGATTGAAACCAGATGTGCTCGCCTCGCTCTTTCCATGCATTCAATTAAGGAGCCAGGACGAGGAGGCTTTTTCACCGTTAGTCCGTCCACCCCCTCGCCCGCCCGCGTGCAGATTTCAGCCGCTTCGCCGCTCCCCGCGCGGGCCAGCCCCGGGCAGCTTCTGCCCTCCCGTCCTCTCCTCCTGTCGCGACGCTCATCATCAGTGTTTCTTTCCTCTCTGGCCAGAATGCCCTTCGCGACAAGGGTCTGGCCCCTGGCACCCGTTTGCCCTGAAGACCAGGGAGCCCCGTCAGTGGGGGAGGAAGTGGCCTTGTCCCTGCAGTCAGCACGGTTGGCGACGACGCGGGACCGTGACGGGGTGGGCACAGGTGAGCACGCATGGTCAGGCGTCTCCACTGAGTCCACCGTTCCCCGAGGGGGCCAGGCGCGCTTACAAAGTCACCTATGTGCCGTCGGTGTTAGGGTTCACCAGTGGCACCCGTACAGCCAGGATGCTGATGGCTTCAGGGAAAACTTACGCCTATTTGCTGAGTATCTGTCCACCAAATATATCTATATATGACATAATTTCCTATGCGAAACGTTTCTTGGACAGAAAGTTTAAACCCAAGCGCACGGAGCCCAGGGAGCCTTGAGGGCTGGAGACGACGGGGTGGCCTTGAAGATTTCGGGACACAGAGCAACTGTCCTCGGAGCCCTCGGGGCAGGAACTCGGGGGAGGGAGGGGCCGGCCCTGGAGGAGGGGGAGGGCGCCGGCCGGACCCTGCCCAGGCTGGGTGGATTTCGGAATCCTGCTGGCTCTCGAGGCCTTCCCAGAACTTACCCCAGGCCTTGGCTGTGTTCCCCCGGGACGGGGACCCGACGTCACCGCAGGGAGTCGGGCAGAGGGAGGGCGAGGCGCTAAAGTCCCCTAGGGAGCAAATCCTCCGGGGCAAGCAGCACCCTGCAAAAATTGGTCCTGTCCACCCCTCTCCCTCTTTTTCTCTTCCTTTTTTTTTTTTTAGGTCTTATTATGTCTGGTTTTTAAAAAAAGTAATAATTAAAAATGGGATGAATCTATACTCTTTATAAATGTTTACACACAACATTTGTAATTTTTTTCAGATTATGAATTATCATTTTTAAAAGTCAGGACGACACTACAGGGAAACTCAGGACAAGACAGAGAGCAGCGCATTTACTCCAGAAAGGACAGAAGGGCTGAAGGAGGCCTTCACAGCACGCTGGGAGCCAGCACTGCCACCAGTGTACTGGCTTTCGACTGGGTAGACTCTTCCTGCAGCGCCAAAGTCACCCTACCTCTCAGCTTCTGACGCCTAGATTTTAGGCCTTCCTGGAGAGAGGGATGGAACAAGGGGGAAATTGGCCACCAAAGTTCTCGGCTTGGTTGCACTTACTAGGAGAGCCAGCACCTCTGGACCATCTGGCAGAGAGATGTCAGGATAGGACCTGAGAAGCAGAATGCTTGCTCCTTTCCCAAGCAGGCTGCCAGGTCTGGCTTGGGAACTAAGAAAACTCTAGAGAAAAGTGGCCTGCTGTTGCCCCTCTAGTTCCTTAATCACTATTTTGCTTTCCCTACATGACTTCCTTTTAGGAAGAGTTGGAAGGAAAGCATTTCTAACTCAAAATCTTTAAACATATGTAGGCCTTCCTTTGGTTTTAGCTTTGACTTCCATCCATCAATCAAAATCTATTAAAGTTTGAAGCCTTGGATAATGTAACTAATCAGAACTTTCTCTTCTTCGTGACCCATCCAGCATCTGAAGGTAGCTTTCCAACCATTCGTTCTGCCTACTCCCTTTTTAAAAATCTCCCATTTGGGGATTCCTCCCCAAGAAAGTAGAAGCAAAGCTGGGACCAACAAGGAAAGTTGCCAAGAGATGAGACCAAGGTAGGAAGAAGGTTGGGTCCACAGCCACATGTTCCTGGGTGGTCTATTCACAGGTGTGTTATGGACTACTATCCAGGGTTTCCTGGCAGTGGGAACTGGCAGGACTCTGCCTCATCTGGCTAGCAGGATGTCCCCCACCCTAACCAGGTTCCCTTCTGAACTAGAAGCTAGCAGTTGCTTCCTGGCATGTTAGTAAGCTGACAGATAACCATACATGGCAAGTCACAAGTTCCATGATGCATAAAGAAAACAGTATCATGCTCATGCAAACAACATGCCGAATGGAGTAGAAATGCCTTCCTGCCCATGGTTGACCATCTAGTACAAATTCATTAACAGAGAAATACAGGGAAAGAGTGAAATGCAAGATGGATTCTACAGAGTGCCCATAGGTTAATGTTTCTGAGAAGGGGAGGTTGTGCCAGACTTCTCCTTTGCCCTTCCAATTCTGCTTCTGATAACCTTAAGTGGCATGTCAGAAACATTCCTCCTATGCATGGGCAAACGCTTTCCACATACACCCCCCCCAACTCTATCCTCCCAACTCTATCCAGTAGCCCTATCAAATTATTTTGAATTTGTAATAGTAAAGGAAATAAGACTAGAAACAAGTTTCCAAATAGTGAATTGGTACTATGTTCTTCTATTACAGGCTGGGAGGCCCAGCGCATGAAGTTGGGTGCTGTTTTCATTTCACTGGGCCTATTTGCTCCTTAAATCCCTGGAGACTGCATGAACCATTGAAACAGCTTTAGCTAAAGATACAGTGACCTGCACACTGACTCGCAATAAATGCTCCTCAGACCTTATTCTGCTAAATGTCTCTGTATAACTGATAATACCTGTAATGATCACTCTCTTTGAAATTTCTTCTCCTATTAACTGACCAGTTCCTTTCTGTCTTCATTGAGGATTTCTTTCTCTCAACTGATGATATTCTCCAGGGTTCTGTCTACCATCCTCATTGTCCTTCAGAATAAATAGGTTGTTTTTAGAAGAGCTCATATATATACATGGGTAAACGACTGCTTGTTTATCAATGAGTCTAAAACCTAAATCTTAAGCTTGGTCACCTACTTACTCTGCCACCTTGAACAAACTGAACAAATTATGTCTTTCCATTTAATCATCTTTCAAATAAGCCTGTCAAAGCACCTATCTTATATAGCATATTTGTGAAAATTAAATCAAAACATATGCAATCTGTTTAGCATCATACTGAATATATAGAAAACCCTGCACATAAAAAGACAGCTATTTCTTTGCTGGATACGCACTTTTACTGAGAAAACCTAACCCTAACATGTCCAAAACTGAACTCACTATCTTCTCCCACACTCCTGTTTCCCAAATAGGAAAAAATTCTTCCCTCTTTGATACCCCTTCCAGTTTATTCAGTTCATCACTAGGGTCTACCTATTTGTCTAGCTGTCACTGATCCTGTCACAGAAGAGTCAACAAGTAGAACTGGAACTGGTGATTAAGTAATAACGGAGTAGTGGGTGAATGGGCAAGGATACTATAATGTAGGCATTGTGTGTATAATAGCAGGGAGCTTATATTATGTAAACATGACAACAATTAGTAGTCAAGGTGCCTTGCCAAAGGCACTCAGAGGAAACATACGTGCAGGCACCATAGCTTCTCTACCTGGAGAAGCCCAAGCCTCACCCATCAGAATCATTCAGGTGTACCACAAGTGGCTGTTGGGAGGATGAAAAAAGAAAATGAAGGGAAAGTCCCTTTTCATACTCAGTATTCGACAGCTGTTAATTCCCTTCCTCTGTGTTTTCCTTTATGCCCAGATGGCCCTGGTCCTAGGCTCTTTCGGGCTGCACAGTGAAATAGGTGGCTCAATTCTTGCTAGCTCTGTGTATTTTAGAAAAATCCTTTAAGGAGGAGCATATGAATGTAAGCAAAATGATTCAAAGTGGTAATAGTTTTAGGCAAGGAGCTGCACACGGAGATGCTGGGGAAACCACTGCTGACTCGAGCCCCTGCAGGAAGAGAACTCCTGCTTGGTGGGCTTTGTGTGTCTCATTCTGGAAATCCAAAGATCTGAGTGCTCACTGGATCTTGGCCCTGTGTAAGACACCTGAGCTGAGGCCCCAGGCTCAACTTTGGAGCCCAAGCCCAAATTCTGGGCCCTGGAGCTCTGTTTATGGCCCCCCAGAAGTGCGACGGGGTCTTACAGGGTAAGTGCAAAATGCTTTGGGCCTAGGTATGTTTGGCTGGTTTGAAACCTATAAGGTCCTTGAGCCAATCTTCGTGATTATTTATGCCATATTCAGTGAGGTTCCCACGTTGAATAAACTTCCCGTAAATCTGGAACCAATCACAGCCACTTCTCTCCTTTCCTCCTGAAATCTTTCTGAATCTTGCCACACATCTTTACTTCTCTGAGCAGCCCTTCCTCATCTTTTTTCCCCTGTCTCATTTTTCCTATAATGCTAGCTCTTAAATAAGCAACAAAGCTGGTTGCAATTTCTTGTCTGGTTACACATGTTAGGTAAAGTATATATTTTTATCCTCTTTTTATGCTTTTCTCCTGTGAAACAAACTTGAATTTGTTGGACTTAAGTTTCACTACGGAGTATACAGTAGTAACGAAATTTCAGAGACCTTGCTTCAAGGGCGCTGTAACCTGTACAGAACTTAGCATGAGAGGCATGACTGTTTATAGACTAATTGCAGTTTATCGTTACCTCAAGTTATCTTTTCATATCATTCTTCTCTTGCCTTTTATTGCTTCAAATAAAAGGGGGAACATGCAAGTAAGAGTTGAAAATACTGATTTTAAAAAATGTAAAATACTTTGTTAGTTTAACACTTTGGAGATGACAAATCTATTATTTCTAAGCCTTAAGTCACTATTCGTCTCTTCTTTAGAATCTGTACCTCTTCCTTTTATAAATCTGGTACTCAGCACTGCATTTAAGACCTCAGAAATACATCCTTCACTCCTCTTCCCCTTCTACTACAAAACAAAATGTTCTTTTTGCTACTTACCCATTTGTCCTTCTCTTTTTCTTGACTTGTTCTTTTGGGCATCTTGTGGAAACTAGAAACTCAAATTACTTTCTTCAAAATTTGAAGGGTGAGATTTAGTGATCTCTCTAATATTCATTACTGTTGTCTTTTCCAGTACTCTGGGAGGCTGAGGCAGGAAGACTGCAAGTTCCAGCCCAGTCTGGGAAATTTAGGGGTTTAGGAAGACCTTATCTCAAAATTAAAAAAAAAAAAAAGGTCTGGGGATGTAGCTCAATGTGAAGGTCCTATCTTCAATCTCCAGTTACACAAAAATAAATAACAGAACATTAAATATTGAAATTTAAATTAAATTTTGGATCAAATTACATAGAAGTTCATCATTAATCTTTAGCCACTAACAGATAGTTCACTGTGTCACACTTTCAGCTTTAGTGTGATAGGGAAAGCCTTGGAAGTTTTTTTTATTTGTGCATGTTTACAATCCATAATGTTTACATTCTTTGTGTAGAGTTGGTACATGTGCAAAATACATCTTAATGTTTTTTTTGTACCCTTCCTGTCCCCTCCCTCTCATGACCCACTTCCCATTTGAGAAAGATCTAGCTGAAGCTTATTCCTTGGTTCTACTTCTTGAAAGAAATTTTCAGCCAGTTACTTTGTCCTTGTGAACTTCCCACTCTGGGCCTTAAATGTTCAAACTATACTGAAGAACAACAACAAAAACAGTAAGATAACAGGTAAAGATCTAAAACAATGCCTGGCAAATACTAAGTGATACAAATATTTTAGGTTTTCTAGTTGCTCTTGTATGGAGCTTTGCTGTCTTGCTATTAAGAAACAAGGGAATCAATACACAACAGAAATAGGTGGTCCAGATTTGGGAGGTAGCAGACCTGGACTTAAAAAAACTATAATACAATCCAAGTTTAAATGATCAGCTGATAATTTCACCAAAACTTGAAATCAAAAGAATGAAATGGAATTTCTAGAACTGAAAAACACAAAAAGTAAACTTAAGAAACCAATAGATGTGGATATTTGACACAGTTGAAAAAAGAGTTGGTAAGCTGGAAAATAAGTCCCAAGAAAATATCCAGAGTGATGAATGGAGAACAAACATATTGGAAAGTATAGAAAGAAGAAGAAGAGACATATGAGATGTGTATAATAAAGTATAGACATATAGACAAGATCTACCACATCAATTAGTTGCACCAAGAGGCCACCTTAAGTGATCTATTTATTCCATCTAGGCTTGTCTAAGTCTACACTATGACTTTTGTACAATGATAGAATCAACTGATGTTTCACTTTTCAGAATGTAACCTCTTTGTCAAGTGACACATGATTACATATGAGTAAGTGTATTAAACATACACCAATGAAAATGTCATGCTGCTACAGTCTCCTCAAAGAGACACTCTTTAAAAATAAAGTCAAGGAGCTGGGGATGGTGGTGGACACTTGTAATTCCAGCTACTTAGGAGGAGAGACAGGAAGATTGCAAATTTGAGCCTAGCCTGGGTAATTTAGAAACATAGGGAGACACTATCTTAAAAAAATAAAGGATGGAGATATAGCTCAGTGCAAAGGGATCAGATCCATTTTTCAGTACAAACAAACAAAAATCATGGAGAACTTGTATGCAAACAAATGAAAAGGACATTGCATGTAAGCACTATCAAAAAAGATTTTAGTGTTTGACAATACAAGTTTTAAAATAAGCATTTTAAGGATGAAGAAGGATATTTAGTAAGTACAAATAAAATCAAGAGGAAGATATAATTTAAATATGTATGCAACTATTAATGTGGCTTCTAAAGTAAATATCAGAAATTGGATGAAGAGGAAAAATATACAAAATTGTAACCATAGAAGAGATTTAATGTTTCTCTGCATATCAGAGAGTGAAAGAAAAAAATGCATTAACAAGAGAAATCTGAAAAACTTGACCTAACTGACAAATATAAACTACTGGCAAGCACTACTCTGCTACAAAGGATAAATTTGTGTCATTTGTAAGAAAATGGATGCATCTTAAGACAATATTAAGTGAAATAAAGACACACGAGCTTAAATGTCACATAGTTTCTCTTGGAGGAGGAGCTCAAAGTATAAATGAAGAGCAAAATAAAATAGCTAATAGGAAACAGGGGGATAGATATTTTGCAAATGAGAAGGGAATGAAGAGATGGAGGGAGGGGAGGTAAAGGAGGGGAAGAGGTTGTAAAAAGAATTAAGATGTGTTAGGTACAGGTACCAACTCCCTGTAATGAAAGCAATCATTATGTACTGCAAACATGCAATAACAAAAATTAAAATTTTTTAAAAATTTAAAAAATACTGGAGACAGATTATGTCATAAATACTGTTATTCAAACCATTAATGACTGCATTTTGAGCCCTTAAACAAGACTCAAAATTACTGAAACTAGTCAATTAAGTCATCAAGCTAGAATTCAAATGGAATGAAGCTATGATCCAATAAAAACAGAACAATAAGATCCCTGAATGCTCGGAAATTAAGGTATTTGATTCCATAAACCAATTGTCAAAGGTGAAATTAAGGTAGAAATCGAAAACATTTTTGACCAAACAACAATGAATACTTGATATATCCAACATATAGAATGCAGCTAAGGGTAGGCTTAAAGAGGATTTTATAGGCTTAAGATACATTAGAAAAAAGAACTAAAAACATGTGGTCCAAGCATCTATTTCAAAAAAACATTAAAACCTCCAGATTTAACACTAAGAGAGTAGAAGGAAAGAAGCAATAAAGATAAGAGTTGAAAGCTAATAACAGAAAAAGTAAGGTATAATGGAGAAAATTCACAAAGCAGAAAGTACATACTTTGAATAGATCAAGAATATCAATAAATTCTTGGCTAGCCTGAGAAAGCATAAAAAAGGACAACAAATTACTGATATTGAAGTAATAAAAGGGAATATCAA